TCTCTTTGGCAAGATGTTCTGCTCCTGAATCAGCTGGGTGGGTCTTGCCTCTAGCCTCTTTGCAGGGAGTTCTGCTGAAGGGTTCTGTGCTGGGCCTGCAGCCTGGGTCGAATGAGGATCCCCGGGCCCGGGTTGTCTCACTCACTTGCGGGGCCTGCACTCTGGGTCTGTTGAGGGTCCCGCGGCCCTTGGGTCGTCTCACTCACTGGCCGGGCCTGTGCTCTGGGTCTATTCAGGATCTGGAGCGCCCTGGGTCATCTCACTCACTCTCTGGTCCTGAGCTCTGGGTCTATTCAGGATCCCCCGGCCCCAGGTCTTCTCACTCACTCGCCGGGCCTGCGCTCTCTTGCTTTTAATTCTTTGGGTTATATACCCTGAAGCAGAACTGTTGGGTCATGTTGTATTGTAATTCTATTTGTTGTTTTAAGGAATTTCCATGATAGTCTCCATGAAGTTGTACCATTTAATATTTCTACCAACAATGTACGAGGGGTCTAATTTTTTCACATTCTCACCAACACTTATTTTGTCTATTTCATAGTGGTCATTCTCATGGCTATGAAAAGGTTTCTCATCGTGGTTTTGATATGCATGTTCCTAATTAGTAATGCTGAATATCTTTTCATGATACTTGGCCACTTGTGTATCTTCTTAAATGTCTATTCAAGTCCATTTTTTACAGAGTTTTGTGTTGTTGGTGACTTGTAGAAAAAAGGTTTTTTACTAAATCACCAGGGCTGGGCTGGAATTTACAATCATCTTGCCTCAGTCTCCCAGAATGCAGGATTACAGGTGTTCACCATTACACCCAGCTGGTATTTATTTTTTTGATCCTAGTAGAATTTACTATTTTTTTAACTGTCCAAGATGTATGTCCAATTTTATTTTTTCTGGACATGCCAGTACAAAAACCTAAATGATGTCTCCCTTGTATGATCCAAAATGCACAACAGATACAATGAAATGGGAAGAAACTGTTCAAAAGTGAAGAGAAAGTAGGATGGACGAAAGGAGACGGGAAATGCAAATACACACAAATACATGGAAGAGACATACAAGACAGTTAAAACAGCTGCATCACTAATTTCTCTTAATTCATTGAAAAGTAAAGTTTATGCTAGTATTGGGCAATTAAATGCCTATATCTTATATCCTGAGTAACTAAAAATAACAATATACAAGGCATTAATCATTGTTACTCTTCTATTATCTTTTTTCCCCCCCCTGGAACCAGGGCTTGAACTTGGGCCCTTGTGTTTGCCAGGGAAGCGCTTATTCTACTGAGACCATCTCCCCGGCCCTTTATTATCTTGTTTTGAAATTTTCTTTTCTCCGGTCAGGTTTTTTTTTGGTGGTACCAGGGATTGAACTCAGGACCTTGCGCTTGTCAGGCAGGCACTTATGATGCTGTGCTATCTCCCAGTCCCCTCTTTTCTCTTTCAAATAAAATTTTAAAAATCTAACAAATTAAAAATCTGAAAAAAACCCTACATGATTTACTTTTCCTACTGATTGAACAATTATTCTTTTACATTAAAGTTCCTTCAATTCTACATCTATTTCTACATATCTATTACATTCTACTAAAATAACTGTGAGTCTCTAGATTTCCAAACATTTTGCTCCCTACAACCTGACTCCAGGCCTTGAGAATGTATGACCTCTTCTGCTACAAGTATAGGTAATAATGCATTCATTTCAGATCTATTGGGAATACCATAAATTGTGTTGGACCATAGACTGCTTTAAAAACAGGATTTCAGGGCTGGCCAAATAGCTCAGTAGATTAAAGTGCTTCCAAGCAGGGTGTGCGTGCATGCAAGCGCAGGGGTGGAGAGCATGGGGGGGGGGGAAGTGTTTGATCCTGGGCTTGCTGTGCTGGCCCCACCCTCGGGGCAAGCTGGGACAGTGATTGATACTGAGTAAGGTGGCATGCTCCAGTAATCCCAGCTCTTGGGAGGCTCTAAACAGGCGGATCACTATGTCTGATCTAGTACTGAGACCCCGAACACCCTATAGACCCTTCCCTAAAATACAAAAATAAATAAATAAAAGACAGGATTTCAATTCACAATTTGCATATGATTTCACCACATATTCCCCCTTTCAAGGGGCATCCTTGGAAAGACTGCTTAGAAATTTACCATCTAATGGGGACAATAATGTTAATTCCATTTCACATAATAGAAGAGAAAAAGTAGGAAAATTGGATTTGATTAAACAATATTTCTGTACAATAAGTAATGTAGAGTCTACTTTATTACAACTACCTCTTCTCTGTGGAAGAAGGGACAGGAAAAGTATGCATGAATGAGTTCCTGATAATAAATAATTCTTTAGAAAGTATTTCCTAAGTACCATCAAAATTTATAGGCTGCTAAGTAGTAACTCTGTTAGAGTCTAGTATAATTTCTTATGTAGGAATTGTATTCTGGGGGCAGGATATACTTCCTTTATATTTTTTTTCAGTCAAAAGGGAATTTTTTTTTAATGAATTCAGGATAGGGTCTACAGGGTGTGCAGGGTCTTACTATGTAGATCAGACTCATAGTAATTCTCCTGTTTTCAGCCTCCAAAGTGCTGGGATTATAGGAGTGTCACCATGCCCAGTTTCAGTCACCTCTCAGTGTGCCCTGGGGCGGGGCCAGCACAGCATGCTGGGGATCAATCTCTGGCTGCTGCGCTCTGCCTAAGCAGGTGCTTTAGTCTGCTGAGCTATCTGGTTGGCCCTAAAAAAGGAATTTTTGGAACACTGAACATCAGTAGTTCTACTTTCTATTGTCTGATAAAAGACCTTTATGATCAGCTAATTTCAAATTTTCTTTTATTAATGTTGAAAGCCAACATATATATTTTAAAAGTAGTGATGTCTATTGGTACATTACTTACTAGGTCTCCTGACACTATCTGTTGCACTTGAGGATTAGAAATCATCTATAATTCTGTAGGCTTCTCATTGTATGTTGTTCCAATAATGATACTAATAAGCAACAATTAAAAGTTGTGTAGACAGAGGGAAAATATCGACCAGTCTGAAAACTCGACATTAGTAACTGATAATGGAGACTTAAGGTGAAAAAAAGATGAACTGACATATATTATAAAAAAAACAAGCTCAAGTCTTGAAACTATGGGATTTTTAACAAGCTTTTAGACTTAAGTGTATTAATGTTTGGTAGACGGGTTGAATTGTCAAATCTAACAATATAATTTGTTCTGAGTAAGAAATACAGATTTTGGCATCAATTACATCTTTTCCATTCTTGCTTAAAATGGATACCCGCACTGGCATGACCTTGGAGTATAAAATGACGTTAATTTTCAATAATTAGTCCTGAAAAAGACAAACACAGTGGTATGACATTAAGACTGACTTACCACTGTCCTCTGTTTGTTGGGCAGGAAGACTCTAACAATAGGTTTCTGTGGTGACTTAGGGTTGCTGCGAGACACATCTGTAGGATTTTGAAAAACTGAAAGAGATGAAGGTAGCACTGAAAGGCTGGAAGAGGAAGAAGATGTAACGGTGTCCAATGATGCAGAGCTAGAGACAGAAAGATCAGTTCCATTCCCGAGGGATTCCAGTAATTGCTGTTCTCTTTGTTGGAGGGCATCTAGCTTGCTGGTGTATTCTTCATAGGCCTATAAGATAAAGTAGACTAACATTGAATCTTGGCTTTATCTTGGCATTAATAAAAGAAAATACGAAATTTCAGTCTTTGATTTTAATTTTTTTATAATCTAGCTAGCAAGGTGCATGCCTAGTTTTGGGGCCGGCACAGTGCCCCTGGGGTTCTGGGCCCTGCAACGGCAGGTGGTACCAGGGATGGAACCTGAGTCCTTGCACTTTCCAGGCAGGTGCTTAGACCACCTAGCTATCTTCCCAGCCCCTGAATAGGTGTACTTTAAATGGAAAAATTACTATAAGACAATATTACATTCCACACAGAAACTTTACTTACATGTCTGTGATGTTTAGATAGTCTATGGATTTAATTTAAGAAGCATAGTATTCTCCAATTTTCTGATCCAATAATAATTTACCAAACTACATGTCTAGCATAAAATACTATAGTGCATCAAGAAAAAGTATCTCTTTTTCTATGAAATTTTAATTTCCAGGAAATAAAACTGGCATGGTGGTACACTGTTGTAATCCCAGCCCTAAGGAGGCTGACGCAGGAGGATCCTGAGTTTGATGCCAGCTTGGGCTACCAAGGAAGCTCCACGCCAGATCTGACTACACAGCAAGATTCCATAAAAAATTTTTTTGGAGGGTAAGCATATAAAGTTCTCTCTTTCTGAATATTAAAAGAGGCTGGAAAAGATGTATTAGGAGACATCTATCAAAATAGAAGACTGAGTTCTGTAGTGTCATATCGCACTGTCGGCACTACAAACTCTTCAAAAGGATTTAGAAGATGTTTTAATTGCCACATTCTTTCTGAAATAGCTATCAGCTAAAATATTTTATTCTTTAAAAACAGAAAAACAACACTACAGATTTGCTCCGAGAATAACAACTGTATTTTAAAATGTGGCTTCCACTCCACAATCAAGAGATTCTGGGGTCACTATCCATGGGGGCATCCTGACAGAAGCTTCATTTGACTAGGGTAGATGGTCATATGATCATCTAAGATGTCAAACTGTATTGGACCAGAGTGATACTGAAAGTACAAAGATGGGAGTGTGTGGAATGCGTGTCTACAGTTCTTTAAGACAGTGCCAATCTCTGCACTTATGGTCCACTCTGCTCCCTACTATCACACACACATGTAATACTACACAGGTTAATGAAAGACTACAGGAAGTCACAGAGTTTAATATGGCATTTCCTATCTGCCAGCGAGTTTACAATTAAGTCATGGAGAAGCAGAGGCCTCTATTGTAATTAGTGCCGTGTGAGTATTTATCATAGGAGAACTAAGCAGTACTCTTGGTACTGAGATGACAGGGAAGGGGTGGGGACTAGAAACATTGGCACTGGGGGAGAAGAAACAGAGGACAACTGTTCAAATAGGAGTAACCACAACAAAATGAGGTGGGGACATATATGTAAGGCAGAAGAAACACTATAGGCTGATATAGCCAAATATCATGTAACACATGGGATAGAGTACAGGATCAATATGTGCCTGTAAGATTTAAATAAAGAACAGGTACTTGGTGGAACAAGACTGAAATGGAGATGAGAACAGGTTGTAGAGTGGATACACCACACAATAAAGTGCAAGCAAAAGAGAATTATCAAAGGTAGAGAAAAATAAAAGAGAAATTTCATTTCAGCAAAGACCACAGAACTCTGATATGCTTACTATATCATCCCACATTACTTTTTTTTTTTTGGTGGAACTGGGGATTGAACTCAGATCCTTGCGCTTGCCAGGGAAGCACTTATTCTACTGAGCCATCTTCCTGGCCCCCCCATATTACTTTTGAGGAAGCATAATGGAAAATACTAAAATGAACTATTGGCTAGGGAGATAGCACAGCGGTCTAAGCATCTGCCTGGTGAGCGCAAGGATCTGGGTTTGATGCTGTGCCAGCCCTGGAGCCAGGCATGGTGGTGATGCCATTCCCAGGGCCGAGGAGGCTGAGACAAGGAAGATCACCATGAGTCTGAGCTGCTTAGCAAGACCCTGTATCAAATAAAGAAAAGATTTTTAAAAATTTGAAAGATTAAAAAGATGAACTGGGGCTGGAGAGATGGCTCAGTGGTCTAAAGCACCTACTTAGAACAAGCTTAGCAAAGCACAGGGACCGCGGTTCAATCCCCCAGCACCACATGCCAGCCAGCCCTGCCCCCTGGTGGGCTGAGCTGGCCACACACACAGACACACACACACACACAGACACAGACACACACACACAGACACAGACACACACACACAGACACACAGACACACACACACACAATGTAAAAATAAATAAAAAAAAAATAAAAAGATGAACTACTGAGTTAAGGGACCTAAACTGTATCAAAATGCTCTCTCCTTCCTTATAACCTACAAATTGTCCTTGAATCTTAAACTGCTCATAGCATATTAGGGAATCACAAGTCATTTTTTTCTGAGCTGTGATTGTGGTTAGCTTTCAGTTCCAATGGCTAATTAAGGGCATCTCTCTCAACATGATTCTTTATCAAGCCTTCATTCAATAAATATATATTGAGCATACAAATGTCTGATACAGTGTGGCTCTGACTTAAGACTGATCCATTTTTTTACCCTCTGAAGGGTATATATATGCAGTCTAGGAAACAACAGATTACTGCTTGCATAAGTCAAATATTCTGATTTACATTCATTTGGACAAATATATTTACTATATAAAATTAGCCTCAGGAAAGATAGTTAATGCCAACAATGAGTTTCCCAAATGATAATTTTCTTAGCAAAATCTTAGCTTTAGTTTTTTTTAAAAAATACACTGATTCCTCCATTTTGTATTTCTAGCATTTCACTGCATTTACCACTACTCTTTTTTTTTTCTCCATAATTTTATTGAGAAACAAATAGCAATGAGACAGTTTCAAATCAAATTGGCAGGACAGTTCCAATAATTAACACATTGCATATTCTCTTCCTAGTGGTTATTTGCTGTACAAGATGCAGACATGATATCCTATTTACAAACACTATTAGAACAAGTCCTTTTATTCATTAAGAGAATGTAACTATATATCTATCCTAACCATTTTGAAACACAGATACAAAATGGACATTCATCTGTATCCCCTTTTTTGTTTAGTTCTGTCATTTGAATATTATAGGTGTGTTAACTCAGCAAAATATTCCAAAAGAGTCCAGTAGTCCATAATAGTATTGGGTCTTCTGCTTCACTGGCAATGTCAGAAATTGTTGACCTGAGTCCTCTACAGTTCAACATAACAGCATGGCTTTACTTTTTATACTTCGTTTTTATACTTTTCTGTTGGATGGTTAAGACCAAGATGCAGCAAGACCTATGCAACAAGAGTTGTAGCTTTTGGATCTGATAAGGTCAGTCAAATCCCCTCAGGATTTATCCTGAGACCCTGTATTTACCAATACTCTTACTTCTGTCAAGTACAAAGTGCAGGCTTCCCTTATCCTTACATCTGCAGACTACCCAGGTGTGCTCGGCTCACCTTACCTCCTTGTCCTTGCTACATTCTGGGTGAACTCTGATTATTTTTTTAATACTCCTGCCTTAAAGTTACTGAACCTAATTCTAAGGGCTTTTTTTCCCATGCCCTCTATGTATCTTCAAGACCTAAAGACACACATAACACCATTTTTACAACCTGTAATTTTTCATATCCCTGCATGCCTGCATGCACACACTTACTCCATTCTTGTTAAATATACATTTCACTGTCACATTAATCTGCTCAGATCAACTCTGGTTCCTCAGTTTTTCAGATTTGGGGCATCCTGGTCTTCTGTCCCATACTCTGTGGCTCATCACTTAAATGATGCCTCAATTATATTCTCCAAAAAAATTTTATCTTTTCCTTTCTATGGAGACAGGGTCTTATACTAGGCCACTCAAGCTGGGCTTGAATTCAATTCTCTTGCAGCCTCCCTGGAATTTAGGAGGCATGTGCCACCACCCCCAGCCTCTACTACTTGTTCCTTTATAAACCTATTTGATAAATACCAATTTTGGGTAAATCCTTCTGATCATTTCTCTCTCTCTCTCTCTCTCTCTCTCTCTCTCTCTCTCTCTCTCTCTCTCACAC